GCAGAGGATAATTATGTTACATGGTGAGTTCAGGAAGGTTTGATGAAAGGGTGATGTTTGAGCTAAGACCCAAAGGAGGCAAGGGTGTGAGCCATGCACATCTGGAAGAAGGGTGGAGAAAGAACTCTCCAGGAAGAGAAAACAGCAAGTGCAAAGGCCCTGAGGTCGTAAAACTACCCCTCCCCCTATTTTCTTCCAAACATTTTGCTTTGCACCATTAGTCTCTGCTCCTGGTGGTTGACTTTTGTGTATGGTGTGAGGCAGAGACCCAGTTGCCCAACCCCATTGTTGGATAACCCACATCCTTCTCCCATCATCTGAAAGGTGACTTCCCTCTCATGTCAAATGTCCATTGATGAGTGGGTCTGTTTCTGGGCTCTCTGTTCTTTTTTAATCTGCTTGTCAAATCTTATGTAAATACCATGTACTACTAGTGGCTGAGGCTGAATAGAAATTATCTTGATTTACAGTTGGGCGAGGCCTCTCATATTTGTCCTCAAAATTATCTTGCCTTTTCTTGTAGCTTTATTTACCCACATGTATTCATTTCTGTGCAAAGGGATGTTAAGAGATGAAATTGACTCCATCTTTTGCCCAAAACTCCGTCTTACATAACTTTTACCTTGGGGAAAAACAACTAATAACAACTGGCAAGAACCAGTTTCCAGCCGACCTGACCTTCTTGAAGAACTCTGAAGAAATATATTTATTTTTCTTCTCTCTATAGTAACCAGTTTGATTAAACATCAATGAACTCTAAGAAATATAATCTAGAATCAACCCTAGTTCTTGGTTAATTCTATCTTCTTAGGACTCCCTGGTGGTGCAAGGGGTTAAGCACAGCAGCCTCTGCAGTACGAGTTCGATCCCTGGCTGACCAGGGAGCTACCCACATGGCACAAGAGACCCCTCCAGTCTCGCCCGCTGCTCCCCTCAGCAGTGTATTTCAGTAGATCTGCCTGTTCTTTTCCCCACTCTGTCTCTTGTGAATCCTCTCACCCGCCCCCACAACACTTCTGACCTGTACCCCAGTTCTTGTGTTTTTTTTTTAATTTTTATTTGTTTATGCATACAAGAACTGAGCTACAGGCCAGAGTTGTGGGGGTGGTGGTGAGAGGATTCACCAGAGTGGGGAACAGAATAGGTGGATCGACGGAAATACACTGCTGAGGGGAGACAGAATAAGTCTGCTACGCCATGTGGGCCACCTCCCTGGCCAGGGATCGAACCCACGCGGCAGTGGCTGTGGACAGCCTCATAGGGCTGCATCTTAAGCCCTTGTGCCACCAGGGAGGCCCCAGGAACTGCTATATTTTGGTTAAAGTAACACTCATTTGTTTGTTACTCTGGGCTCAGGTGGGCAGCAGTAACCCTGGACAACTGTTGACGTTAATTTATGATCGCCCCCAGAAGCCTGGTTCCCATGGCCACACGCACCATCGATCTCCTTCCCCGAGTAGCTGCACCCATCACAATGTTCTCATAACTGAAAGTTTGTTTTGTCAGCTGAGTGTGGGGTGGGGTACAGCTTTACATTTCAACATCCATAGACTAGACTTTTACCACCTCCAAAAGTCTAGTTTCCCTCCACCATGGGGACAACTGACGCCCTTTACCCCTCCTCCCTGCTGGGGACTGTCTCACTTTGCTGGGGGGGGAAGGGCAGGGGGTTGTCTTTGTTTTTTTAAAGGTTTTTATTTATTTACACAAGCACTGGGTACAGTCAGAAGCGCGGGAGGGTGAGAGGATTCACCAGAGCCAGAGCAGGGAGCAGAGCAGGCAGAAGGACCGAAGTACACTGCTGAGGGGAGCAGCGGGCGGCAGGAGAGGTCTGCGCGCCATGTGGGACCCTCCTCCAGTGGCCGGGGAGCAGCAGGGGATCGAACCGGCGCCGCAGAGGCTGCGGACAGGTTCGCAGCCCAGCGCTCAACCGCTGCGCCACCCGGGAGGCCCACGGGGTTATCTTTTAAAGTGACAATATTTGTCGCGCAACCAACCCATCCCGGGTGGGTCCATTACCGGTTCTAGCAGGTGTTGGTGTCTTCACGCTCTCCGCTTTTCGCCGTCGCCGTACTCCGTCGCGCTCTGCCACGCCACTCCACTCCTCCGCCCTCGGCGCCGCACCACACTGCACTGCGCTGAGCTGCGCTACGCCACGCCACGCCACCCACCCACGCACGCCACGCCACCCACCCACGCACGCCACGCCACCCACACACGCACACCACGCACGCCACGTCACACGGCACCACGCCGTTTGGCTGAGTGCGCATGCGCAGTGGGAGGGCGGCAAAGCCTGACGCTTTTCCCCGCTGCTTACCCCACAGTATAGCAACACATTTTATGCTGATGGAAATGGAGGGGGAAGTGCAAAGATGCCGGAAAAGGTGGGGGGGGGGTATCCTGGCACAGGAGGTGGCGCTGGCTCATTCCCAGGAGGGGCTGGGAAGGGCACTGAGGCAGGAAGGGGATGGGGTGGTCAAGGAAGCGCTGGGTAGTGCCTTCTCCCGCGGCTTCAGTCTTCTCGGTGACACGGGAAGCCAGGCCGCTGGCTGGGAGGGGGAAAGGTGGCAGCCGCACCCCTGAACCCCATCCTCCAGACCCTAGTGGTTGCTGGAGTCAGGTGGAGCCCACCGGCTTCTTGTCTCGCACATCTCGATCCAGGCCTCTGCCCGTGGGCACCCGCTGGTTTCCAGGCCCTGGCTATTGTCATAAACGCTGCAATAAACACTGTGGCGTGTATAATTTTTGTTGGTCATTTCATATCCCTTGGGTGGGTGCCAAGAATGAGGTTGCTGAGTCGCTGGGTTTTCGCAGTTTTGTTTTTTTTTTTCTTTAAGGTAAATCCGGGTCACTTGAAAACTGCCCCACCAGTTTACAATCCCAGCACCAGCGTGTTAAGTTCCTCTTACCCCACACCCTCTCCAGCCCTGGTGGCCGGGGTTTTTTCAACATGTACCATTCTCTGAGTCTGCTTTTGGAAATGTCCAGTATAGACACATCCAGAGAGACAGGAAGTAGGTCAGGGGTTGCCTGGGGTTGGGGGGAGGGCAGGAGCGATGAGAGCTGTAGGGTTCAGGTGTGTTTTGTTTGTTTTGTGTTTTGAAAGGACTGGTTTATAGGGAAAACGGGAAAACGGTTCCTGCACCGACACAGGCTGGCCGTTTCCGACAAGAACTGCTCAGGGTTCCCCTGAAAGGGAGGAATATATTTTCAGGGGCCTCCCCTGGTGGCGCAGGCGGTTGAGCGCCACACTGTGAAGCTGTCCGCAGCCTCTGCAGCGCCAGTTCGATCCCGGCTGGGCGGCAAGGAGCCCACATGGCGAGACAGACCTCTCCTGTCTTGCCCACTGCTCCCCTCAGCAGTGTATTTCAGTCAGTCTGCCTGATCTGTTCCCCGCTCTATCACTGGTGAATCCTCTCACCTTCCTGCACATCTGGCCTGTGCCCCAGTTCTTGTATAAATAAATACATAAATCTTTAAAAAAAAAAAAGAAAGAAAATATTTTCAGATGGTGATGCTGGTTAACACAACCATGAACATAGTTAAAACCATGAATGGCACCCTAAACGAGCAGGTTGTCTAGGATAAGAGCTCTACTTCAATAAAGCTGCTACTACCCTCCCCAAACCCTGCAAACACAAAAGCCCTCCCCACAGCCCTGGACTCACAGCAAAAACCCAGCAGCTGGCTGACCCTGTGTGACACCCCCCCGACCCTGCAGGCCCACATTTTTTTTTTTCTTTAAAGATTTATCCACTTAGGGTCTCGCTGGTGGCGCAAGGGGTTATTCGCAGTCACTGAAGCACAAGTTCCATCCCCAGCCAGGGAGCTACCCACATGGCACAGCATACTCTCCTGTCTCGCCAGCTGCTCCTCTCAGGAGTGTATTTCAGTCAGTCTGTCTATTTTGTTCCCTACTCTGTCTCTGGTGAAGCTTTTCACACACACCCCCACCTCTGGCCTGTACCCCAGTTCTTGTATGCATAAATAAATAAATCTTTTAAAAAAAGATTTATCCATTTATACAAGCACTGGGGTACAAGCCAGAGATGGGGGAGGGTGAGAGAACTCTCTAGAGACAGAGAAAGGAGCAGAACAGGCAGAAGGACCAAATACACTGCTGAGGGGAGCAGCGGGTGAGACAGGAGAGGTCTGCCGCACCATGTGGAATCTCCCTTGCCAGCCGGGAATCAAACTGGCACTACAGAGGCTGTGGACAGCTTCACAGCGCTGCGCTCAATCTGCTGTGCCAACTGGGAGGCCAGACGTACACAAATTTTGAGCACATCACCTCCACTCTCCCTTTTGCCCCCCTCCCAGCTGGCCTCCTCCCATGTTCTGCCTCAGGGCTTTTGCATTTGCTGTTTCATCTGCTTGCAAGACCCTTCCCCTATAATCTCCCAGGTTCATCCCTCACCTCGAGTCTCAGCTCAGAGGCCATCTCCTCCGAGAGGCCTCCCTGGTCATCTGAAATAGCAGGGGGCTGCTGCCAGGCGTCTCTCCCCACTTGCTCTGCTTGATCTGCCCCCAGTCCTCCCCGTCTATGCGTTCGTGGACAGGGGCCTGTCTATGCGTTGCCCTGTGATCCACAGGAGAATGTGAGGTCCTGGGGCACAGGGTACGTGCTCACTGCCTTATCCTGGTGCTAAAATGGGACTGGCAGAGCAGGTGCCCAAAATAACTTGCTCACTATACAAAGAAGCAAATGCTGTCTGCAACACCCCCCCCCTGAGCCTTGGGTCCACAGGCCTCTGGTCACCTTTTCCAGATGACTCAGTATCGCATACTCTATTGGGTTGACAGAGGCTCCCCCTGCTGCCCCTGAAACATATATTCAGGCTCATGGGCCCTCTGTCAGCAGAGGCAGGTATAAAGCGCACCTGGGGCTCTGCCTGGCTTAGCACAATGTAGCGTGTTTGTTGACTGACTGACTGATAGACATGTGCAGGGAGACATACATGCCTGTGGTTCCCAGGCAAGGACTCAAAGACACATGGCCAGGCAGGACCACAGGTTTATTGGGGGCTCTGCACACACACACACACAGCATCACACGACAATGGCACGGTTACTCGTCACACACGGGGTGGCCTCTGCCCACGGCTGGGACCCAGAGGCAGGGGGTGCAGTCTCCTCCCTTGTGGCCCAGACCCAGCTGGGTCCCTTCCTCCCAGGCAGCTGAGGGAGGGGTTGCTGGGGTGGGCCCAGCCTGGGATGGGGAGCGAGCAGGGCCGGGGGGCGGGGGCAGCGCCTCACTCCAGGGACTGCAGCATCAGCAGCTGCTTCAGCACCTTCGTCTGGCTGGTCTCACGGATCTCGCCTGCCAGGAACATCTCATCCACCACTGTGTAAACCTGAGGGGAGGACAGTCAGGGGGAGACTCCACGGAGACAGGGGGACCTAGGGTGCTTGCTCCGCACCAAGGATACTAGGGGTCAGGAAACAGACAGACCCGAGGCTCTAGGGCCTTGAGGGGTCCCAGCCCCCTCCTTACCTTGTAGAAGTTGAAGACCAGGTCCAGTTCACAGACGTTGTGGAAATACTCATTTAAGACCTAGAGGAGGGAGGCAGAGATGGTCAGAGACACGCAGAGATGGCAGCAAAGGAGACCAGAGAGAGGCCAGGGCGGGAGGGTTGGTGAGGAGGGCAGGGAGAGGTGCCGGGACAGCGATTGGGACAAAGAACATCTTCTGAGATAGCAAAGACAGGGAGAAACTGAGGCGGCGGGAGAGCAGGTGAGCAGGGGGAAGGGAGAGAGAACATGAGACCCAGGGACAGAAGAAGGGAAGGGGAGAGAGACAGAAATGGTGAGAAAGACAGGCAGAGAGGAGTGGAAACACACTTCAGGTGACAACAGAAAAAGATGGGGAAAAAGACAGACCGAGGTACAAGCAGAAAGCGGAACTGAGTGGTGCAGGGGCAGGGAGGCTGGAGTTGGGGTGGACACAGATGGCGTATAAGACAGCAGTGGCTGGCACGGATGCAAAGAGAAACAGGCAGAAAAGACCAGACAGGTGGAGAGAGCGTCCCACCAGAGGAGGGGGGTTGACACGACACCAGGGATGCCCCCACCAGGCCCTGCCCGCCGTCGGGCGCACCTCCACGAAGTTGTGGATGGCCTCCAGGTAGGCCAGGTTGTTGTCGTTGACATCCACGCAGATGCAGAAGTAGAGGCCGGCATAGCGTCGGTAAATGATCTTAAAGTTCCGGAACTGCAAGGATAGAGAGGCCATCAGCCACCTGAGCCACAGCACATACCCAGGACCCAGGGTACTGGGCAGGGCACGGCCAAAATATTAAGTCCTTCCATCCTGTCCTGGCTCCTGAGACCCAGTCCTGGGCCTGTGCCTGTGCTGGAGACACAGACAGGTCCCCTGGGACTCAATGTCCAGTGGGGAAGGAGTGGGCTCATCCGCAGACCTCTCTAGAGTAGGCAGAGTGAGGCTGTGGGGGCCTAGAGAGGGTGGCTAACCCATCCTGGAAGGCCAGGAGGGCTTCCTGGAGGAGGGAGCAACGGAAATCTAACCTGGAGCATGAACAGGAGTGAACTGTGAATGGGCCAGGGTGCTCTGGGCAGAGGGAACAGCCTTGGGAATCCTATAGCTGGAAGGGAGCCTGGAGGTTCACCAGCACCCATCCCACCTTTCTGTGGCTCCCCGTGGCCTCTAGAGGGAGTCAGATCTCTTCATGTGGAACAAAGTCATTCCATAACACCGCCAACACCACAAGTACCTACTGTGTGACAGAATCACACCTATAACCAATCCCAGGCTTGCCCTTACCGAACTGTAAGGCAAATGCTACTCCAGTAACACTGATACATGGCCCAGGGATGATTATGCATAGATTGGGGAGGCCGACTCTAATTTTTTATCCATGTATAAGTGGATAAAGAGATAGATATAGACAAAGACCTGCAAACTGGCTTTTGAAGCACAATCTTTGACCAAAACAAAAAAGAAATCCCAGTTCACACTAGGTGTGCACGCAGCGCCACCTGGTGGCAACAGCAAAAGCCAACCTCTGTCCTCTGATTTTTTAGTCCTTGTTTCCAGGGGGTCCTTTTGATCATTTCCTCCCTTTTTTGCTTTCTAATAGTATTATAACAACGCCTGCACACAACCCATGGGTACACAGCATATGCTAGGATGCATGCGCTACCTTTTTTTAAAAAAACTGATATAGTGATCAAATGTTGGAAGAGCCCTGCTCTGGAAAGAGGGTTCAAGATGGGCTCCCCAGAAGGTGAGGCAACTGGAGAAGCACCAGTTGACTGCCCCGCCGCCTTTGCAGGATCTGACACTGACACCGAGCAGCACTCTTTTTGGATGTCACCCTCCAGGTCTCCTGGCTCTGTCCCTATGCCATTGCTTTACATTTCTGGGCATCAGCGGGGGGGAGGTGGAGCCTGCCCAGACCCTCGTGTCTTATGGGACAGGTCTCTCTGACTCCCCCAGCCACTGGCAGCCGTCCCAGCCCTGAACACGCCAGGTCCTGGGGCCAGGTCTGTCTTCCCACTGGGTTGGGAGCCCCAGGAGGGAAGGTGGGTCTGTCCCTACTGTGTCCCCAGGACTGGACATGCTGTGCCAAGCAGAATATAGCCTCCCCAAAGATGGTCAACTCCTGACACCTGGCACTTGTAACTATGTGATCTTACGTGGTAAAGGGACTCTGAGATGGAGGGATGATGCTGGGTGAGCTGGGCACATGCATTGCCATCTTGAGAATCCTCATGAAGGAAGAGGGAGTGAGGAGAGGGGGTCAGAGAGAAGCTTTCAAGGCCTGGTGCTGGGGCCTTGACGCTGGAGGAGGGGCCACCAGCCAGGAAGTCAGGGGGTCTCAAGAAGTCAGAGAAGCCAGACAACATGTTCTCACCGAGAGCCCCAAAAGGAGCCAGGCCGGTGAGAACTTTGGACACCTGACTTGAGAGCTTAAGACAAACATCTGTGTTGTTTTAAGCCACTAAGTTGGTAGTATAGCTATTAAACCAGCCACAGGAAACTAATGCAGTTGCCAAAGAACACGCATTACTGCTGACTCCCTCTAGAGACCACAGGGAGCCATTTATTTATCTCTGAATAAATGAAAGGAAGGAAGGATGAGTGCCATGGGACTCTTGGTTGGCCGTCTTGCTATTCTAGAAATGCCCCAGGATATTCCTGCCTCAAGACCTTTGCACTTGCTGTTCTGGGGGCCTGGACAATTCCTCTCTTTGATACCATCTCCCTTCACAACTTCAATTCCTTCAGGTCTTCGCTCAAAGGTCAACTTCTCAGTAGAGTCTTCCTGACCCAACTCATTTAATCCTACACATACACACACCCCCACCGCCCGCGGCACACTCCAGCACCTCCGTCCTCCATAGCTGCTTCCTTTCTCCCCAAGATATATGACTTCACCATTGGTCTTTCACTGACTATGTGGTCACCCCCCGCAGGCCAGGGACGTGTGTCGGCGAGGTTCACAGCCATGCCCCCTGCACCTAGGACAGTGCCGGGCACACAACAGCCGATCAGCCTGATCTCTTCCTAGGCCATTCATTGCCTTGGGAATGAAAGGTGGAGACGTCTAGATTAAATGAGATCCAAGGCACGTTGCAACCCAGAGCAAGGAAAGATCCTGCACTGGCTCTGAATGAATAGCCTCGAGGGCCTGGGAGATGATTATATTGACTGGGTAGTCGGGGCCTATTAAGGACATCTGATGACTTTTTATCAGGGCTCAAAGTAATATTGTGAGAGCGTAAAGAAAGGCCTTTCTTTTCTGAGGTGCAGCCTGAAATATTTACAGCTGAAGTGGCATAGAGCCCTGCCGAGACAGCACTCCAGCAAGGGCTGGCCTGTTATTCTAGTCTCTCTACTTCTTTTTTTTTAAAAAAGATTTATTTATTTATGCATACAAGAACTGGGGTACAGGCCAGAGGTATGGAGGGAGAGAGGAGTGGGGAACAGAACAGGCAGACTGACTGAAATATACTGCTAACGGGAGCAGGGGGCAAGTCAGGGGAGGTCTGCTCTGCCATGTGGGTAGCTCCCTGGCTGGGGATCAAACTCGTGCTGCAGTGGCTGCAGATTGCTTCATAGGTTGCATCTCAACCCCTTGCGCCACCAGGTAGGCCCTCTAGTCTCTCTACTTCTGTAAAGAACACCTTGAGTGGGTGGGAGGGAGGCCTTGGGGGGAAATCATGAGACTGAGATGCAGATGTCGATACTTAACACAGGACACCTGACACCGACATCAAGTCACAAAGCGAGGTTACGGTGGTAAGAATGCTAAAAATCAAAGAAAAAGGAAAAATATCTAAAGGAACCAGGCCAAAAAAGGGGGTGAAAAGTAGAGCAAAAAGACAAAATATTAGCAACAATATTAATACTTATTAAATCTGGGTAGGGGTGTGTGACTCGTCCATCTACTTCTCTTTCTCTCTTTTTTTTAAAGATTTATTTATTTTTATGCATACAAGAGCTGGGGTACAGGCCAGAGATGAGGGGGGTAAGAGGATCCACCAGAGGCAGAATGGGGAACAGAACAGGCAGATTGACCGAAACACACTGCTGAGGGGAGCAGCGGGCAAGACAGGAGAGGTCCGCCTCGCCATTGGGGTTTCTCCCTGGCTGGCCAGGGATCGAACTCATGCTGCAGAGGCTGTGGATTGCCTCACAGTGCGGTGCTCAATCCCCTGTGCCACCAGGGAGGCCTATTTACTTCTCTCCTGCTGAGCTAATCCATGTGCATGAAATTTTTCATGGTAAGTACCCCCCAGAAGAAAGGAAAAAAGAAGTGTGAAGGGATGCGGGAAGCAGGGAGGGTTTGAGGGTTATTGCTATTGGAGGTAAGGTGGGAGGGGTGAAAAGAAAGCAGGGTGGGGGTGCTGGTAGTGGGGTGTCACCTCCACAAAGTTGGTGTGCTTGGCATCGCGGACAGTGACCACGGCGTGCACCTCCTCGATCAACTTCTGTTTCTCATCGTCGTCAAACTGCATGTACCACTTGGCCAGGCGCGTCTTACCCGCCCGGTTCTGGATGAGGATGAAGCGGATCTGTGGGCAGCAGGATGCCAGGAAGACAGAGGTGAGGCGAACACTAGCCCGGGGTGTCCAACTGCCCCCCACATCCATCCTGCCTGCTCCCCAGAATGCAGCCTGGCCACCCGCCTGGATCCAGTCCCTTCAATGCCTCAGGGGAATGATTCCACTGACCTACCAACTCTGTGGTCAGCTCTGGGGGCCGAGGGCCCCAGGTTTAGCCAAGGTGGGACATCATGACCTTGGCTGAGCAATTTAACTCACTAAGCCTCGTCTCCCCACTGCCCAAACTGCTCTTAGAAGTCCCTTCTTATTAGAGTGTTTCGGAGGGTAAGCAAGTTAATAAACTTCATTCAGTGGCTGGTGCCTAGCAGGCGCCTGGTGTCAGACTTCTGTGGTCTGAGCTCTAATTTTTCTAATTTTGAAACTGAGCTGTCATTCACATATGAAATTCACTCATTCCCAATGTTGACAACTCAGTGCTCTTGAGTATATTCACCCAATTATGCAAAAATCACTACTCTCTGATTCTAGAATATTTATCTCCCACCCAAGAAATCGCCCCACCCAGCAGCAGATGCCTCCCTCCTCCCAACCCCCGGCAGCCATTTCTGCCAGTACGGATTTGCCTATTCAAGACTTCAGTTTTCATGCATGCTTTCATTTCTCTTGGGGTATACACCTTAGTTGACTGCAGGATTGTATGGTAGCTCTGTGTCTAACTTCTGTCAGGAGCTGCTAAAATGCTTTCCAAAGCATCTGCGGCCCTGTCTTTAGTGTCTTAACTGCTTGGTGCATCTGTTTCCCCACCTGGAAAACAGCACCTCTTACAGGTGTGAGGCATGACCTACACAGGAGCACCCAGGACAGTGCCTGGGTGGGATTATGCTGTCTGTGTCAGCTAATTTAGCATAAGTGATGGGTAGGAAATCTGTTGTTCTGAAAAGTCAAACTAATGTTAATGAATACCAGAACTGCTGGCTGTGTGACTATGGGCAAGCTACTTAGACATTCTAGAACTCAGTTTCCCTGTCTATATAATGGGCATAATGAGGGCACCTCCTTCATAAAACTGCTGAATGGGGGCCTTCCTGGTGGCACAAGGGGTTAAGCACTGCACTATGAAGCAATCCACAGCCTCTGCAGTACAAGTTCAATCCCCGGCTGGCCAGGGAGAAACCCACATGGTGCAGCAGACCGCTCCTGTCTCGCCCACTGCTCCCCTCAGCAGTGTATTTCAGTCAGTCTGCCTGTTCTCTTCGCCACTCTGTCTCTGGTGGATCCTCTCACCCCCAGCATCTCTGGCTTGTACCCCAGCTCTTGTATGCATAAATAAATAAATCTTTAAAAAAAAAAACACTGCTGAATAGGTTAATAAACATAAACAACGTCGTACAGTGATGAGCAAATATTAAATGCCATGGAAATATTCATTATTAGTACTATTACAATTCATGGTCTTTGGATTTTGAAAAACTATGGTCCAAACTATTCACCTAGCGAGGAAGCTTGCCTTTAGGCCTGGTTCTGTTTTTTTAAGATTTATTTTATTTATACAAGAGCTGGGGGTACAGGCCAGAGGTGTGGGAGGGTGACAGGAGTCACCTGAGACAGAGCGGGGAGCAGAACAGGCAGATCTACTGAAATACCCTGCTGAGGGGAGCAGCAGGGAAACCGGAGAGGTCTGCCGCACCATGTGGTTATCTCCCTGGCTGGCTGGGAATCGAACCCATGCTACAGAGGCTGCGGACAGCTTCACAGCGCTGCGCTCTACCTGCTGTGCCACTGGGGAGGCCTTGGGGCTGGTTCTGTTTGAGACAGGAATGCACGGGCCCATTTTATAGATCATGAAACTGAGGCTCAGAGAAAAGGAGTCTCACAGCCAGAAAGCAGAGTTGGGAATCCAGCAGCTTTGTCTGCTGGAAGCCTCCACCCTTTCATGGGTGTCCACTCTCCTTCCTGAGCCTCATTCCTCACATACTCTTTCCCCCTCCCCCCACCAATCAAGCAAAGCAGAACAGGATATTTCACTCCCTTCCAAGAACCCCTTCTGCTGAGCCAGGGAAAACCACTTCCTATGAGGACAAGGGTCCTGGGCAGGAAGGGAAAGGGTAAGAGGTGGTGGTGGGGGACCCACAGCAGGCAGCCACAGTCAAGGGGCTTGAGTCAGGGGTACTTGAGGTACACAGGGAGGAGAGCTAGAAGCAAGCCTACAGAGCTGAGGGAGAGCTCTGCCTCTTACACTCAAATTCTTTCCTACACCTCTTCCTATTTCTCCTTCCAATGAGAATCTCTCCACCTCAGGGGACCCCCCACCCGGAGAAGTTCCTTCCCTACTGCAGCCTCAACCTTCTGATGTCCCCCAATTTGGTCTTTTTCCAAACCCCCACACTGGAGGTGTTTCCTTTCTACTTCACTTTCAAGTCCCTCTTGGCTCTCAGTAGGCCTTTTACTTTTTTTTAAAAAAAGATTTATTTATTTATGCATACAAGAGCTGGGGTACAGGCCAGAGATGCGGGGAGGTGAGAGTATTCAGCAGAGATAGAGTGTGGAGCAGAACAGGCAGATCTTCTGTAGGCCTTTTACCAAGGACATTGCTTTTCTGACTCAATGGCCTACTAGCCTATTCCAAAAGTCACATCTTGCCTCCAAAGATTCTGGTTCTTGGGGAGACTACTCCAGCGTTCTGACACCCTCTCCCGTTCATCTCTTTTCCCAGTCCCCTGCCCAAAGAACCCTTCCTAATGGTCCAAACTTCACCAGGGGGTGAGGGGAGCCAAACCAAAATCCAGTCCTTAGCTCCAAAAGCCTCCTTCTCAACTCTCACACCTCTGTGCCTCCACCTTACCCAGCAAAACCCCCTTTTTGAAAGACCTGTCTCATTGATCTTCAGTCATGTCTAGTATCCACTCCCTACCTCCAATTCTTCTCCCCTTTTACAACACACTTTCCATTCCCCAGTTGCCTACTTCCAATGCCCACTGCCCACTGTCTCTTCCTCTTGAGACTCTCTCACCAGCAATATCCCGCCCCCTCAATATCAAGACCCCCTCTCTGCCCTCAATGACAGCTGCTAGCCTTTAGAGATCCCTTCTCTCTGGCCCCAAAGTCTCCCACTCTCCTCCTGCCACACGCCCGAAGAGCCCTAGGCTTCGGACACCCCTTCCCATCTCCAATTCCTTCTTCCCACCTCCTTCTAGACCCTGCCTCGCGAGTTGCTTCTATTTCAAACCCCTCCAGTCATCTCCAATGTCTCCCACCCGCCCAACCTACTCCCTTTAGCACCTGATCTCTAATGTCTCCCGCCCTCGAGACCCCGGGCGACCGCCCGCGCCCAGAATTACCACCGCCCAGTTCCTCCCTTCCCGGCCTTTGATCGGCCCCAATCCCGAGAGCCCGTGCCCGGCCCAGACCAACGCACCGCAGCGGGGGGGGGAGGGTTGTGAGTACCCTACCGAGTCTCAGGTATATGCACTTGAACCCACCCGCCGCCCGTCCCCGGTGTGGGAGCGCCCCCGTTACCATGGCGACCCCTGTCCGGACCCCAGCGGCCCCGGTCCCACGGCTACTGGGCGGCTCCCGCTCTGGCAGCAGTTGGGGGACCCAGGCCTAGAACGGACTTCCGGCAGAAGAAGAGGCCGGCCCTGTCGCGCAAAGCCGCCTGGGATTTGTAGTCTAGAAAAAGGGTTCGTTCGTTTGGATGACTATCCCGGGGAAAAGGGCGGGTCCGACTTCCCAACGTGCTGTGCGATTGTCTTTTTCTTACCACAAATTTCAGACTCCGAATGCATGCTGGGAGTTGTGGGTAAATGCCTCTTCCGTGGAATACAATTCCCGAAATGCTTGGCACGCAGCATGGTGGGCGTTGCATTCTGGGAAATGTAGTTTCTAGTTACCCTACCCGCCCTTTTAAGGCCAGATGCTGGGAATAGTAGTTTTTAATAGGAAACTGCTGGGGAATCTAGAGGTCTAACTATGTTTTTGTGCTCCGTGCTTTTCTGTAAAATTCGTTCATCGTTTCCCTGTGAGAGACGGAGTGGCTTAAGAGCATGAATTTGGGCGCCAGAACTGTGAGCAAATCCTGAAGTTGCATTTCCTAGCTGTGTGACTTTGGTCAGTAATTTCACCCCTTTACTCAATTACCCTATCTGTAAAATAGAAATGATCAAAGGGTTACCTCGGTAGCATTTTTTAATGCTTCTCTAAGCTTCCAAAGTACTTAGTACAGTACTTGACACACAGTAAGCGCCCAATAAATATTAGTTAACGTTATGAATTTTCATCGCTAAAACAGAGGTAAATTTGTTTTCTTTCAGTGACTCAGATACATCGAGGGCTTTCCTACCTTTCCCTATCTATTCTTTTTTTAAAATAAATCTTAATAACCTTTATTTTATTTTTTAAAAAGATTTATTTATTTATTTATACAAGTACTGGGTACGGTCAGAAGCACAGGAGGGTGAGAAGATTCACCAGAGACAGAGCAGGAACAGAACAGGTAGACAGAGGACACTGCTGAGGGGAGCAGGGGGTGCAGCAGGAGAGGTCTGCACGCCATGTGGGACCCTCGCTGGTGGCCAGGGATTGAACTGGCGCTCCAGGGGCTGCGGGCAGCTTCGCAACCCAACTCTAAACCCCTGCGCCACCAGGGAGGCCCTCCTCATCTATTCTAGGGCTGTCCTCTTATTTACCTTTAGCTTAACCACTGCCTTCTTTAGAGGACTCTACCTACAAAGGTCCCTCTCCTGAGCACCCAAATTCTTGGATTTTGGATTTTAAAAAAAGCTGTTAGTTGGGGCCTCCCTAGTGGCACAAGGGGTTAAGGACAGCACTGTGGGGCCGTCTGCGGCCTCTGTGGCACCTGTTTGACCCCGGGTCAGGAGGGGAGCAGCCCACGTGGCGTGGGCTGCTCTCCTATCTTGCCTGCTGCTCCCCTCAGCCTTCTGTTTGGGTCAGTCCATCTGTTTTGCTCCAGGCTCTGTCTCTGGTGAGTCCTCTCACACACCCACCACCTCTGGACTGTGCCCCAGTTCTTGTATGCATAAATAAATAAATCTTTTAAAAAAAGGCTGTTCGTTGGATTTTTATGACAACTTTTTTTTAAGTTTTATTTATTTATTTATTTATACATGCACCGGGTACAGTCAGAAGTGCAGGAGAGAGAATTCACCAGAGCCAGAGCGGGGAGCAGAACAGACAGACTGACGAAATGCACTGCTGAGAGGAGCAGCAGACGGCAGAAGAGGTTTGCACGCCATGTGGGACTCTCACCCGGTGGCCGGGGATCAAACTGGTGCTGCAGAGTCTGTGAGCAGCTTTGCAACCCAGCGCTCAACCGCTGCGCCACCGAGGAGGTCCTTTATGACAACTTTTAATGAATTTAGTTGGTGTGTGTATGAGCGTGTATTATCTACATCTGCTATTAGGTGGCAAAATGTTGAGGGCAGGAACCTTGTCTACTAATTATATCTACATCGAGAACAGGGTGGCAACTAGTAAGTGCTCAATAAATGCATTATTACTTATACTGAGAGGAGATGTGTCCTAATGAAAATACAAAATACCATACAACAATTTAAATTAAAAGTGTAGGTCCTTGCCTGGTGGCGCAGTGGTTGAGCGCTGGGCGCGAAGCTGCCCGCAGCCTCTGCAGGGCTGGTTCGATCCCCAGCTCCCCGTGAGGGTCCCACATGGCACGCAGACCTCTCCTGCTGCCCGCTGCTCCCCTCAGCAGTGTATTTCTTCGTCAGTCTGCCTGTTCTATTCCCTGCTCTGGCTCTGGTGAATTCTCTCACCCTCCCTCGCTTCTCACTGTACCCAGAGCTTGTATAAATAAATAAATAAATCTTAAAAATAAATAAATAAAATGAAATTTAAAAAATAAATAAATTAAAAGTGTAGCATTGGCAGAAGAGCCAACATACTATGAATGATTGCAATGGCACAAAACAGCAGCAAATTTACAGACAGAAAGTAAAGTACAGATTACAAGGGCTAGGGCATTAGGGGAAAGCAGAAAGGGGATTTATTGTTCAATGGATACTGCCCTTCAGTTTGGGATAATTAAAAGTGGTAATGGTTGTAAAACAGTTTGAATATACTTAATGCCACTGAGCTGTGACCTAAAAGTGGTTAAAATGTGAAATTTTATGTTCCTTGTCTTTGAGCACCATAATAAGTTACATAATTTATGTTTTAAAAATTTCACAATTCAGGGCCTCCCCGGTGGCGCAGCGGTTGAGCGCTGGGTTGCGAAGCTGCCCGCAGCCTCTGCAGTGCCGGTTCGATCCCCGGCTGCTCCCCGGCCACCGGAGGAGGGTCCCGCATGGCGCGCAGACCTCTCCTGCCGCCCGCTGCTCCCCTCAGCAGTGTACTTAGGTCCTTCTGCCTGCTCTGCTCCCCGCTCTGGCTCTGGTGAATTCTCTCACCCTCCCGTGCTTCTGACTCTACCCAGTGCTTCTATAAATAAATAAATAAATAAATCTTAAAAAAAAAAAAAAAAATTTCACAATTCAGTCACAACTATGACTAATATAGTTTTGTTATGTTTCAGGCATCTTTCTGTGCAATTCACTTATGGAAATCTCAAAAAAACCCTGTGAGGTAGGTTGTCATAGTAACAATTCTGTTTTATAGATACTCATCTGCAGAGTAATTTGCCCAAGGTCACTGAGCTTGTGAATAGTGGGGCTCAGATTCTAGTCCCATCACATCCGCTCAAGAGTCAGTGTCTCTGGCCACTGCACCGTGCTGCGTTCATGTTAAGTGTATAGAGAGATCTGGAATGAAACACATTTCTGGACAGCCAAGTGGGATGGAGTCGAGCTGTCTGAGGAGATGGCATCTTATCTTGAGTATTTAAGATGTTTGCAAGGACAAAGAAGTCATGTGTTACTGTGTAATTAAAAGGAAAGGAAAGAGACAGTACTATCAAGCTATCACCAGCCACTTCCAGCCACTGCAGCATGAGTTCGATCCCTGGCCAGGGAGCTAATCCACATGGCACAGCAGACCTTTGCTGTTGCGTCCACTGCTCCCCTCAGCAGTGTATTTCAGTTAGTCTGCCTGTTCTGCTCCCCACACTCTGTTGAATTCTCTCACCCCCTGCACCTCTGGCCTACACCCCAGTTCTTGCATGCGTAAAGGAAATATTTAATACAAAGGAAAGATGGGCAAAAGATTTGAATAAGCATTTCAGAAAAGACACTATTTAAAGAGTGTGTAAATATGAAATGTATATGTTATGTAAAAAGATGCTCAGACTCTTTGTGATTAATCACTGGGGAAAGACAAATTAAGATCACAATGGGATACCACTACACAGCCACTAGAATGGCCCAAATGAAAAAGATGGACAACATCAGTGTTTGGGAAAACATGGAGCTGCTGGAATTCTTATAACTGACTCCAGGGATGTAAGTGGGCATTCACTTTGGGAAACTGTACATACCTAACAGAAAGGAGGACATTTGTTTACCAAAAGACAGGTTCTGGACTGTTCATCACAGTGCTATTCATAATAGCCAAAACGTGGAAACTGCTCAGATGCTCACCAACAGTAGAATGAATCATCCTACTGAATATAGACTAGGGTATTGTAGGATGGTTTCTACATCGTGGTAGAAATACACTCAGAAACACACGTAGAATTCACTCAGCACGGAGGAAAAGCGATTTACATATACACGTAATAACGTGGGTGACTCTAGCAATGTTCATCGAAAGAAATCACTGTGTAATTCCATTGATATAAAGAATAAAAACGGACACAATTAATCTGTGGTCATAGAAATCAGGATGGAGGCACTCCTTGTGGGGAGGGGTGGGCAGTGACTGGAAGGGGATACCAGGGGCCTTCTGAGACATTTGTCAGAGTGTCTTTCTTAGTCTGGGTGCTGACTGGTTACAGGGGTGTGTTCTTTTTGTGACTATTTATCAAGTTGCAAACTTGTTACTTGTGCCCTCCTAGGTACGCATGCTACATTTCGATTTTAATATTTATAGAAAAAATATTTATAGATATTGAGACGTTCATCATCCATCCTTTCTTTTGTGCGCGCCCACAACCTGTCTAGCTCTGGCCAGGCGCTGGGCTTAGGCAGAGAATCCGAGCATCCCCGCCTCCCGCTCCGTCTTCGCGATTGGCTCCCCTTCCAGCCAATGGCGGAAGAGTTCACGGCTCCTTGGCAACCTAGCTGCAGCTTCCTCTGCTCGGCTTGTAGGCGGCGCTGTGAGCTTGCGGACTCGGCGGTCAAGTCCGTACCTGGTCCCCACCCTCTCTCTGATTCTTTCTGACTCTGCGGAATGGACAATGTACTCCAGCATCTCCATCCTCTTTGCAAAAGACTTTTGTGATGTTTTCTGCCTGTGCATCTCTCCCACCCGGGCCCAGATCCCCAGTCCTGCCCACTTAACTACCCTGGCTCTTTGGTTGGGGTGACCTCCAGTCCTGGCCATGCAGGCCCCGAGGCGATGCTGGGAAATCCTGACAGCGACCCAGGTCGGGCAGTCGGCATTTCTTACTGTGGTCGGCTAATTGTTTACTCGGTTGTTTATTTATCCTGCTGCGAAAGCTAGAAGGCTAGCCGGGTGCGCGGGGGGGGGGGGGGGGGGGGGGGGGCGGCTGCCCTCAGGGAAGCCTGCTTCCTGTGGTTGCCTTGCTCAGCTAATACCCATCTTCTTGCGCACTGGAAAGAACAGCAGAACTAGGAAAGTCCTCCTTGATGATTCCAAATTCAACAACAGCGGGAGCCACCACCCCCTGTCCTCATGGGGCTCACAGTTGGAAGGAGAAAAAGACATGCACCAGACAAGGATGATCCGAGGAGATAAGGGCTTGCAGGGAGGACCCAAAGAGAGAGCCCAGAGGGGACGCCTGTGAGAGCTTGTGAGAGCCCAGAGGGGACGCCTGACCCAGGCTGGCAGATCAGGTAGGGCTTCCTGGAAGAGGGGCCATCTGAGCTAACATCTGAAAGGAGTTAGTCATTTGATAAAGACTGTATCTTTTTGGCTACCATGTCCCCAGTGCCCGCCTTTCCTTTTGTTCGGCAATGGATTCATTCATTTATTCATGAACAAGTATTTATTATGGGCCATTTACCAGAAGGAGGAACTACCGAGAGAGGGCCCCTGCCTTCAAAGGGCTCACACACAAAATGGTGATACAGAATTTCAAGTCCTGATGGAGTGCTAGGGAGAAGTATTAGGGGTGTAGGTATCTGACCCCAGTTGTCTGGGTTTAAATTTCAAATCTGCCTCTTAGTGGTGTAACCTCTGTGCCTCAGTGACCTCAAAATCACATACAAAGTAAGAGTTTGCAGTGGCAGCCTCAAGAAAACCTGGCCCACACACCTATTTGGCCTCAAAGCTTAGAATAAACTTTAGGATAAAACCCAGTAACATCTAAAAACCAGACTTCATTCAGTGTAAGTGCTAAATTAAAAGTCAATGGAAACGAGCCAGATCAGGAGTCAGATATTATAATGAAATGTTCTGAAACTTGAGCACATGTAATTTTATTAATGCTTACAAACAGTAGGGCATTATTTTCAGCGTTTTGCAAATACAACTCGTTTAGTTCTCACAGCAACCGTCAACGAGAGGTTCCATTTTATAGAGGAAGAGACTGAGGAAAATAAATTCAAAATGTAATCGGAAAAGTTGTGTTTTTTTTTTTTCATGCATTCCAAAAATACTGACTCGGCGCCCGGAAGGCTCATCTTCCAGGGTCCGTGCTTCCGGAGGCGCCCCAGAGGAACGCAAGGGTTTACAGCAGGGCGCCTTCCCATCGCTACTACCATCCCTTCGGGCGCCCGAATTGACAGCTGGTTTGCGGCCCTTTCACGATGCTGACTAGGAGCCCAGGGGTGCCCGCAGGCCCAGGCCCCCGGCCCTCCCTCTGGAATCCGGCGATCACAGCGTGAAGAGCAAATGGTCTCACGGGGCCGGGTGCCCAGATTTTCTTCAGCGCCCCGGGAAAGAGCACGCGCTGCCCGGCCCCGCCCCTCCTTCCGGAACGACGCATTGCGAGCCTCGGATTGGGCAGGGGCGGACCCCGCCCCCTCGCGTCCCCCAATCAAGTCCCCCAAAGGGAGCGCTCCCGCCCCCTCAGTCCCGTCCCACTGCCTCGCGTCACGTCGCTCCCTCTCTCCTCCTCCGTTATCCCGGCGGGCGCGGCGGGCGCGGCAAACCCACCTCCCCTAACCTCCTATTGGAGGACCAGGTCCCGCGCGAGCGGGATCGCGCCCTGCGCCTCCGCCCCCAAAGCCGGACCACGCCGCTCCCCTCCGGCTTTCTCGAGAGTCGGCGCGAGGAGGGAGAGTGTCTGCCTCAGGCGCGCGCAGGGCCGCGCGCACCGCCCGCAGGCCACGCCCTCTCCTCGCGGCCGTGACCGCGGCGGCTGCCGGCCCCCCGCGCACGCGCACGCGCACTTGCCCGTTCCAGTCCGTGTGCCGGTCTCGGCTCTCCTCACGCCGGGTTTCGCGCCGCAGCCACCCCGGGAGCCGCAGCTCCTTGGGGCGCACGCGCACTGCGCCCTCGGTGCCCGTTCCCAGCCCCCGGCCGCGGCAGTGGCGGGGCGCCCCTCGGCCGCGCACGCGCTCTCGCCTCTCCCGACCCCGCGCCGGTGACTTTCCTCGCGGCGCGCGCCCGGGGCCGTTATCCCCCTGCCCTGGTCCCCGCGCCGCGCACGCGCAGTAGCGAGGGGGCGCGCGCGTGCGGGAGCGGCGGCCGCAGGAAGGAGGCGCCTCCGCCGGCGCTGCCGCCGCCGCCATTGCCAGGGAGGGAGGGAGGGAGCGAGCGAGGCTGGTCCGCCCTCCCCCTGATTCCCGCCCCTCCCCCCTTCCCCTCCCCGCCCCCCCGCCCCGAGGGAGAGCCGCGGCGCGGCGGGAGGAGGAGGAGGAGGCGGAGGAGGGAGCCCGCGAGGGAGGGTCCGCCTGGCCCCCCGCCGCCGGAGCCGCCGCCGCCGCCGGAGCCGCCGCTGGACGAGGAGCAGCAGAACATGGCGCCGGGGCCGCCGTCGCCTCTGCCGGGATCCCGGAGGCCGGGGCCGCGCTGAGAGCGCCCAGCTGGTGAGTGCGCGAGACCGCGGGCCCCGGCGCGGAGGCCGGGCGCCGCCCCGCTGCGGGGTCCAGGGGGAGGCGGGGACCGCGGGGCCGGGAGCCCGCGAACAATGGAGGAGCCGGAGGGGGAGGGGAGGGAGCGGCCCCCCAGCCCCCCGGGCCCCGCCGGCCGGGTCTCCGAGCGGCTCGGCCCGGCCCGCGGGGCCCGCCCGCCTCAGCCCGGCCGTCCCCGCATCCGCTCCCACCCTCCGACCCTTTGGATCGCGGTGTCGGCCTCGGGCCCCCGCTCCTTCGGCCACTCTGCGTGCCCCTCCCGCCCCTCTTTAATGCCCTTGGCCCCTCCTGACGCTGCAGTGCTCGTGGGATCCACCTTCCCGATGACCCTTCTGCATCCCTTCATCCTGGACCCCCACTTGCAGATTCGTGATCTTTCTGCCTCTGCTCCGATCGCGTGCTCACCTCCCTTCGGACCTCTCCCCGGCGCCTTTGACCCATCACTAGCAACCCTTCTCTCAGCGTCTGTTGCATCCCCCAGGAGCTGTCCCTCTAGGACCTGCGGCTTCACCTCCTTGGAGAGCATACCAGACCCTGCTCTCGGCACCGCTGCCCTCCAGGTCTTCTCCTTGGACTTAATTCCACCTCTCTCTGCGTCTTTACTGCCCCACCTCTCTGTCCCTGCCCACCCCCGGCCGCCGCTGGGTTCTCTGACCCTTTCATGCCTCAGTGCAGTCCCCTACCTTCTGTCGGACTCAGATGCACTGGCCCTAGCCTCCTTTCCTGCTTAATCTTGTTCCGTTTGCCATTCAGACTCTTTCCTCTCTTCCAGACCTTTCCTGCCAGCCCTGCCCCTTGCCTGATCTCAGAGCTTGCTAGACCCCCTAACCTGCTTGCTCTCTGGCCCTGCCTTCCACGAAGCTGCCCCCCTTCCCCCTTCGCTCACCCGCACCTCTCATTTCTGCCATTCACTTCCCTGACCTCGATCCCTCGCTCAGCCTCTCTGCCGCCTCAGTGCTGCCCTGCAGGCCCCAGTTCTGCCCAGGTTCTCCTTGAGGCTCCTCTTCCCCCCCTCCTTATTGGCACTCATTTTAGCTGTCCCAGCCATTTGCTCCCCTTTTCTTTGACCTGTCTCCCCTTCAGGTCTTCTTTGCTTAAGTCCTGCTTCCTGCCCTCCTGTGCGCTAAGTTCTCTCCTTTTTACTTGGCCTTTCTTAGCCTTGTCCTTGCTCAGCCAGCGATACCATCTCTGCCGCATCACCCCTTCCCTGCCCGCTTTTGCATCTCACACATCTCCCAAATCCTTTTTGCACCTGCTCTTTTCTCCCTTTTGTTCAGCTCTGCCCTGCCTGTTTCATTTAATGTTTGCCTCCCCAACTCTGCGCCTTCTGGAGCTGTCCACTCGCCCACCTATTTTTTGGACCCATTTGGACTTTGCTTCTGCAGTTCCCTCTTGGAGCAGTCCTCTCGAACCCAGTCTTGTAACTGCACCCCACCTCTGTTGCCTCAATTTTGAAGTTTCCCACCTGGCCTCTCCCCCGACCTTTTGATTCAGGTCTCAGCCTCCACTCTCTCCTTGCGTTTGTCCTCCCTCCTTTGCCGGACCTTCTCCCCCACCTTGAATTCTCCTTTCCCCAGTGCTGCCCAGTAGTGGCCATGTCTTCTCACCATCTGTCCTGTCGTCCTGCCCTCCACCTCCGAGCCCCCTCCTGGAACAACCTCCGCGCTCAGATAGATTCTCCCTCCCTTTGATACCTGTTCCTGGTTTTCTTCCTCTTAGCCTTGTTTCCACCTTTTCTTTCTTTCACATCCTGCTGGGTTCTTTCCCTTTCCATTTGCTCCCTATCAGGCCAGCTTCCCAGCTCCCCACCCTAGGCCAGCTGGTCCCCCATGAGTGCTTGCCCTCCTCAGGCATGCCTTGCGAGGGGAAGGTAGAAGGCGTGCTTAGGCCAGGGGCTCTCCAGGCTCTGATTTGGGCTGCGCCTTTCATTGCTCTCGCCGTGGGGTTTGATCCCAAGGGGTCCTGTGAGATCTGGGTAATGAGGTGGAGGTTGGTTTATCTTTTACTGCTCTCTGGGGTCTGGGACTGCTTCCCCCTGGCCCTCCCCTTCCAGCCTTCCCTAAGCACCAAGGACCGAGGTGGTTAGGTTAGGGTAGGTCTCTTTCCATTGACCCATTTTCTTCCCCACTCACATCTTGCTCCCAGCCCCTCAGATCCCTGGGCTTTGCAGCTTTGTGCCCTTCAGAAGAGGGGAGTGCAGCTGCTCACAGGTCTCCTTCTCACTTTACAGTCTCCTCTCCTTTGAGCCATCGTAAAGAGACAGTTGTGCCCTCTCCCCTTTTGCCTCCAAGCCAGCACCCCTTGGAGGAACTGAGGAGTATACTTTTTTTCCCCCTCTTCCAGTTGACAAGTCATGTTTTCATTTTACCCCTGACTGGGGAAGTGCCAGTTCTCCCCTTCTCGCCTGCATCGGGCATTATGGCACACTTGGCCTTTACTTCCCTGGGTCTGCCCTAGTGAACGTGCTGTGCGGTGTGACCGGAGGGGATGGGAAGGGAGCTCATTTCTCTTTCACCTCTGCCCCAGGAAGGCTCCATCCAGTTTCCTGGTCTCCAAGTTGGTGAGGGCCTGGGTTTGGAAAACTCTCTGCGGTTGTTTGTTTAGAGAGAGAGTGCCAAGTGTCACTCAGATTTCTGCCCTCTGGTATTGTGGGTGCTCCCAGTTACAGGAGCCGAATGCCTCTGGGCACATCCGAGCTGGATTGAGGGGCCCTGTGGGGTGTCCACTGAGTGTGTGGGTAGACCCTCATACTCCCCAATCCTTTTGAATGACCTGATTGGATAGAGTGAAAAGGGGGTTTCAGGAACTGGTGAAATGAAGGAACGCTTGGTATTAACACCCGGTAAATAAACGTGCCTTCACCCCCTTTCCTTGAGCTGTTTTCTCTGGGGACCTTATCTTAGGGGTGGCACTTTGGGAATTCGTTCAGGGGAAAGATGGGGTTTTACAGAAGTCATCCCACCATTTTCCTTCTTTAACTTAGGAGAGGGAACCTTTTGCATCTTCTACGTTTATTTATTTTATTGCTTAAGTAAATCAAAAGTCTGATCCCCCCTTCCCCCCCCCCCAGGGCAATTGCATGTTAAAACAGCCATCCAGCTGTGAAAGAGCATTTACTGGAAATACTTTATTTCTTAACTGAGCTGTGATCGAACTTTGTTTACTTCGGCATTTATTTAGAAATATTTCTGTGTGAACCCATTTGAAATAAAAACCCTTCACTGTCATGGGCAGAATTGGCCCATTGACGCATCACATGTCAGGGCATTCGTGGATGATGAGGGAGGTGCTGGAGAGTAGGCTCTTTTAGCTGCTAACTTTTTAGGACTTTGTATTTTCTGACAGTGTCTTGTAATTTTAACCATGGCCCGTGTCTTCACTGTTATTGACGTAGAGAATTTTGGTTCATTTCTGTTGGTTTTTGTTCAGTTCCAAATTTTGGCCTTGTGGATCTTGCTGCATTCTCTTAAAATTATTTGAGTTTTTGTTCCCCTTGTTGGTATAAATAGTTGTTTTGTTCTATATCTTAATGTGGAAGTGACAGCTAATTAAGCATAAAAACTGTTTCTGCTGCTCTGCTTAAATTTGTGTTTCAGAGTTTTAACATCACTGGCAGCATAGAAAGTTCCTGCATGCCCAAAGCCTAAGTTTACATAATAGGAAGAGAGGAGACTAAAGAACAAAGAGCTGATTTTTCTTCCTAAACTGGTAACTGATGTTCCAGAGACTGTCAGATTTCCGTGATGGTAGCAGAGACTGCAGCCCCGGCATCACCATTTGCTTTCGTGATGGAATTGGGTGCTGGGAAAGCTGAGGTGGTAGCCTTGGCCTTCTGGAACAGTGAATGTGCCAGTTGGGGGCGGGGTGTGGAGCTGAAGATGACGGTAGACGACTGCCTTCAGCCCAGTGACATGTCTGCGGGGACTCATGCTCTGCAGGAAAATACTGGTGACTTTGGCCCGATCAAGGTTCTAACGAACCTTTCTTTGTGGCCATGTCCCCCACCCTTACCCACCGCCCTTTTTTTCCTGTTGCCATGAAGGCCAAAGCACTAAGGACAATAAAAAGTCAGAAACTAGTCATTCCTCTTGCTGCCAGACACATGGGGGAAGTTGGTCCTGTGTGGATCCATGGCCTGGGAGGGGGGGGCTTCTGGGGAAGGACAGTCTGAAGGAGTGTGGGTTCCATGGCTGTGGTCAGCCTACACCCTGGGAAGGTGGCACCGGTGGGTAGTGAGATGCTGAGAGTGCGCGTCTCGTCTCTGGAGCCCAGTCTCCTTTCCCATATCTTGTCTGCTGTGGTGTCCTGAGAAGGCCACAGGGCCCCCTGTGATCTGCTGGGACTGTTGTCACTGAGCACCTGGCAGTCTGAATGATGTCTTAAGTTACCCCTTCGATGCGACTTTTTTTTTGATCCTCTAGGCCAGCTGTTTGTTTTCTTTTTTGCATTATATGAAGAGCATAAACTTGGAGACTCTGCTGGAAGAGGGAAGGTGACTCGCAGAAATACCTGGGGTTTGGAGCCATACAGTTGGAAAACCAGTGCCCAGTAGGAAGTGAGACTTGTAAGGGGCGTGGGAGGGTCTCCCGCCTGCTTTACAGTCCTGGACACACAGGCAGGAGACCTGCTGGTCTAAGCCTTAACCTACCACTTGGCACCTTGGACAGTCAGTGCTCTGTGTGGGCTTGGCATTCCTGTCTGAAGTCAGATGTGCCACCCAGCTCAGGCTAGATTCTCGTCCTGGGTCACTCACCAAGTTAGAGCTGGCACTGGACTCCACGTTATTGTTGGGCCTCCCACCGTAATCAAATCCTATAAACTGGAATTAGGGCAGAGGCTCTTTCCCTGGGGGATGTAGTGGAATAAAGTAGATTACTTTTGTTGTGTAAGTTTTCAAATATAAAAGAAAACTGCCCTCTTTTCAGCCATTTGCATCAAGATTAGTTTATAATTGG